ATCAGTGGTGTTCAACACTACATATGAATGCTGCCAAGAGAAACATGCAAGTACGCATTTAACTATACCCAACTTAGAAATTTTTTGATTATCAAATTTTAAGTCCGGAATAGTGAAAATTAGAGTCTGTATATATTACAGCGCATTTGTAAATTACCCCAAAATTTGACTAATATGTAAATATGGATTTTGCGTCATTTTAATAAATTCCTATCGCTATGTCTAATGGATGCGTCAAGGGTGAGGAGTTGGGTTAGCTCGTTATTAGTACAAATTAGGGTCGGAAACGAATTTCGGAGTTTATCCCTTACTCTGTAAACCGAATTGACGGTACGTAGATACCAATCATCTTAGCCCTCAAAATTGCAATAATCAAATGTCCGAAGATTATTAATAAAGTAGCTGCGCGACATAATCAAATGTCCAAAGATTATTAATAAAGTAGCTGCGCGACATAATCAAATGTCCAAAGATTATTAATAAAGTAGCTGCGCGACACAATCACGTTAGAAACCAGGAACGAAAGCAGATATAGTAGTTAACAAATAGTTCAAAGTAACGTACAGACGAGAATTGATCTAGCATCTCATTAATATATTGTGAAGCATTTGACATATAGTACCGGGCAGTTGACTCGTATTAGACAATCAAACAGAAGTTTAGGAGGCAACATGTAATAAATCATCTGGTTACCTGAAAATTAATTTGCTACCGTTTTTGATGATCAGCGATTATCACTTACGAAAAAAAATAAAAAAATGCCAAATATCAAGTAAATACGTAAATTAATTTGTATCAGGTTACCGATTTTTGAGTCTAAAATTCTTTTTTTTATTATCGTTAGTTATCGCAACTACGACGTCGCTTACGTTTGCATTTTTTGTATTTAAATTATATTCTGTAATTACATATAATCTACACACTCACACTCGTTACAATAAAATATGCATAAGGTAGTGAATTCAAATTAGAAAAAGAAATGCAAAAAAACTCAGGCATAATTTTTTCATTTAAGTAATTAGTTACATTTAAAAAGTCTAATAATCTTTTGAGACAAAAAAAGAAGACTTCAAAGTATTAAATCAAATTTCATACTTATTTAAAAAATAGTAGATAACAACTATTTTGAATGCAAAAAAAAACAACCTTTTCTACAATATTAATTTAAATTTAAAGTTTAAAAAAATAATAATAATAAATAAAAATAAAATTTGATTTAGATATATTTTAAGCATTTAAATTTGAATGTAATTTGATTCAAAATTTAAAGCAATAACCAAATAAGTTCTCATTCGAATCATTTGAATAAATAAAAAAAACTTCAATTATTTTTTTGTTCGATAATCTCTTGATTTCGTAAGTCTTATACTAATGCTCAAATCGCAGCGTTTGGTTGTTGATCACTTTCCTTAAGTCCATTTTTCTGAAATATCATTCACCGAAGTCGTAACACCCAAAATAAATTAATCGATAAGTTTATTTCACTGATAGTTTATTTCACCGACAAGTAATTCTGGTCATGAACCTAGTATGACTATTCTGTAATATTAATAATTTAAAAAAAACAAACTTGATTTTCTTTTTTCCGTATCTAATGTCAAAGTTTTGTATTGTTTTGCTATACATCAAAAGCCAACCGATTTATTTGAAGCTAAATGCTAATAAAAAGACCTATATTAAAGCTTAAAGGAAGCATAGATTCTGTGCACGATTATTTTAAAAAATCATGGGAAAGCCTTACTACACGTACTATCGAAAATGCCAGTGGATAATAAGTAGCGCATATTTCTTCGTTTTGTTAATAAGCAGTTTTTTTTATTAATCCTCTTGGGAAAATGGATGTTTATTTCTTCGAAGGTATATTCATTGTGTCGCGGATCATAATGAAATCGAATTAAAATGAAATGATGGGTTTCTATTTAACCCCTAAAACCACTTATACTTGTTTATTATAAATTCTATCTTTAAAAGCTAATTCTAAAAAATGCTAAAAGAAATACGCACCAAAAAATTTGAATTTTTAGATGGCATGTCTATTTGATATTATTACTCATTTCATTTTAATCCGTCACATTTATTATAAAATTTCTATATCCATTAATTAAAAATCCAATAATTTTAGATTCAAAGGACTTCAAATTATTCTCTAATTATAGAATCTGAACAACTAAGTGAAAGATAATTCGTAAATTAACGCCAATTGATTATTTGAATATTATACAATAATATAGCTGAAACGGACGAGAAAAGTCTGAAACTTAATTAGAAATTGTAGAAAATTATAAAAAAAAAAATCACGAAGTATAATATATAAATTGTACTTTATTTGCATAAAAGTTATTGGAGATATCCATAATAAAAAAAAGACTTAACGTTTAAAAAATATTCATTCAAAAAATGATAAATGATTGAAGTATGCAAAGAGTCTTTCAAAAACATGAAAGAAATAAAAATATTTTTTATTGCCTAAATAAAGGATTGTGTTGAACACTTTTTTACATTCCATGAATAAAAATCGGTTAAAGTATTTCTGTAAAATAAGCACTTTCAATATATTATAAGATAGTAAACTATTAACTTTTTTTTTTGATAAAATTCGGAATTTTTATCAGAATAATGCAATCAAAATTTTAAATACCGATTCGTAACTGATTAGGTTTAGAATTAGAGTTAATTTTTAAAAAAACCTGTCAGTAAATAAACTTATCGATTAATTGATTTTCGGTGTCACGACTTCGGTGAAATGGTATTTCAGAAAAATGGATTTCGGGAAGTTAAACCGAAACCGCAGCACTACGTATCTGATTTTGGTGGTGATACTAGATGGGAACATTATATATGAGTGTCATCAAGGGAAAACCTGTCATCGGGCTTTCAATGTTCAGTTTATTTCCTGTGTAGTGATGCAGTAGAAACTCAAGGCATCAGTACGTAACAAAGTTATAACTTGTTATAACGATAATTTTTATTTTAAGTTGCGGCATTTCATAACATTCGTATGTGTCATATTGTTGTGATGTGTCGTAATGTTTTTATGTGCCATGACTGGTAGTTTTATATGTTGTAACTACGCATATGCTATACTTTATTGTAAATTTTATTTATGCTTTAATCTTTATTGCTTTGACTATTTCGTCTATTCGTTAAATATTCGAGCTACTAAACTTGCAAAATTATAATTATGATTTTTTGAATTCAATCATTGAAAAATGTTATTTGTCTTGCCTTGTTCTTCGATAAACAAATTATTGTTACCAATAAATGCCGAATTTGAAAGATCGATAATTTCTTCGATTATTAAATTATCACCATTTATTTCATCTAGTTGTATAGTGCCAGTTTCAGAAATTGGATTAAATGAATCAGTAAACTTATCATCAAATTTCTGTTTTGTATATTCTAACTTAGGTAAATCTGAAGCACATTCTTCAAATCGATCATCATTAATATTACTAGTACATTGTCAGATGATTGTTGAGATTCGAAAGGTTGATGTGCAAAGAACTGCTTAGACTATTATTAGATTCGGATAATAAAGATGCCTCTAGGCTAATGCCACTATAGATAAATTTATCTCGATATGTAATTTCTTTAAGCGCATCTATTATCATTAAAAAAAGAATTTTTGTAAAAAATAAATTTCGTATTTATTATAAGAAAAAAAACTATTTGTACACTACGTGTATATGCATGAATCAGAGTCCTCGGATTCTCTAGTATCTAAAATAGTACATGCAATATCATGAAAACAATCAAATTAAACCCGATAAAATTTTTTTATAGGCATGTAAACTAATTTTGGTTGAATTTGGATATGTGGTTGTAACAATACCACTAGTGCTATTTTAACTGCTAAAAAAATCAGAGAACTCTAACACGGGTATTAAACTGTGGTTTGCAAATTCGTGTAGCATGCTAATCAAGTTGGTTTGGGATTTGGTAAGATACATTTCACATCAAAATTTTGCAATGAGATCCCAGTTGGTTTCTCTATTGCCCGTGTACAATTAGAAATCGTCTTATTATAATACTTTCATGACATAAGCCATTTGCATAAAATTATTTACATATGATTATAAAGTTACTCCATGAAATAAAGTTACGTCATTGTTTAAAGTTACGTGACTATTTTTATGACTCTTACAGCACATTGGGACCTTATGCCACACTGATTTTGCCGTAACAGTAACCTTAACTTGTCATATCTCGAACAATTCATTGGGACGATTTTTCTGCATCACTATTCATGAGTACCGTCTAGGGAAATTCTATTATTGGACTTTCAATTACTGTATATTTGTGATGACTTGTCACAAATGTAATTGAAAGCTCGATAATAGATTTTTCCTAGCTGAATATTGACAATTAATAGCATTTATATGAAATGACTGGCTTTTCACACGGATATTATTCAAATTTAAAATGGAGGGTGTATTGTCAAATCATCAAGCACTTGTCTGAAATAAAGTCAAAAAATGAAGTACGAATACCTTAAATATATAGGTGTAAGTAGGAATTTCTTATTAGAACTAAATTTTAAGGGTAGAATTTATTTTATACTCTAAGATATTAAATTCTATATCCACACAAATTCCGTTATCACTTATAAAAAATGTAATAAAAAATGTAACTTGTATTTACTTTATAATAATTGAAATCAATCTTACCCCGAATATACTACTACTATATATGTCAAGAAAATTTCTGGAAAATCGAGCTACTAAATAGTATCGATATAAACTTAAAATTATATTTTGCTCGGAAAAATGAGAATCAGGGTTTACTATGTTAGGAATAACCTTAATCTAACTTTTTAACGTTAAAAGAATATGGTTATTTACTTACGTTACGTTACGCATGCACACATTCTGCCTTATAATGTCGATATAAGATTTTCAAAATATTTATAATTTCATAAAAATTAAGTGAAATCTTAAACATTTGCAATTCTAATCACGTCCCTTTTAGGTTCTTATCGCCTGATTACTAAGTCAACTCAAATGAATAAAATCTTTAACATAATTAAAAAAACTATTAAAATCAATCGTCAATATCAAGAGGATAATGTAAATGCCACTTTTCAATATGAGCATGAAAATAGTCATCCGGCTAGCCATCATTATTCAATATGGATTGATCCAACACCTTATCATGGGCCACTAATTGTTACTGAGCAGTCCTTTCATGATAACGAATCAAATTCGCAAGATGTCATAAATAATAGAATTTCGAGCTGTAATGAACCATTCACTATTGAACAATCTTCTCTTTTACCATCTTTAGATCATCTGAATAATTCAAATAGAGATATTTCAAGTTATCAATCAAACCAATTTATAGATACAGCTTATAACGATAATGATAATGGGTCACTAAGTCATTATTCAAATTCGCAGGAGACTTTATATGAGGCTTCGAGTTATCAGTTAGCTCAATTTGTGGATCCTATAATTTGCAATGAACAATCACTTAATGCATCTGTCGTTGAACAATCCTCTTGTCCGATGTCTCTAAATATTCAGTCAGATCCTCTAATCAATACATGTGATGAGTCTTCAAACATTCAACAAGATCAATTTATCAATCTTAATACAGATTTGGATTCTCAACGGCCATTTACATTATTATTAGATTCGTCAGAAGTCGATGATAGCGATGACGAAACTTCTGAAACTATTAACAACAGTGAAGGCAAGTCAATTATCTTTACTTTATATGCTATTTAATATTTTAAAATTTTATTCTTCGAATCAATCAATCAATCATTTATCTGCTGAATATTCTATCAGGTGAAAGCAATAATGTTGATGGTGATTACGAATACGCTATACGATTATGGCAAATCTATAACGAAGAATTAAATATAGATAATGCGCAAGTGAGAAATAATCTTGAATCTAATCATGAAGGACATAATCAAGAAGATTTGTATGAATGTAATATGCAAGTACATGATAATTGGGAAGAATCGAACATAGGTATGTATGCAAATAACTATCTATTGTTTCAACGTTTAATTTTTCTGAATCATTTTGATTTATATTATATTATTAAAATATGATATTATTAAACCATCATTTAGTTATCAATAATTCATCAAGTATAAATGATAATAATGATTCTTGTGATGTAATGCCGATACAAAATTGGAATTCATCAAGAGGATGGGATGAAGATTTAATTGAACAACCAAACGATTGGAATGAAGAAATAAATGATTCATCAAGTAATTGTAATGATACACAAACAATCCGAAATGATAATGGCCTAAGTTGGGGAGTAAATGAATCACCAAGCAGTTCAGATGGTGATATAAATGATTCATCAAGTAATTGTAATGATACACAAACAATCCGAAATGATAATGGCCTAAGTTGGGGAGTAAATGA